GCGTTCGCTCGCGCCGTAGCCTGTATGATGCACATGGAATACATCCGACCAAGAGTGCAAAATCTTTCAACATCAAAATATATATATATATATGTTTATTGTATATTATTACTAAAAGTTTGTAAGGAAGGGATAGAATTTACATATTCATCCCGCGGGGTGATGAAAGCCGAAATGACGGCGTAATCAAACCTGAGTACCACGCCCTCTTGCCAGGTTACCAATCCGTGTCGGTTATGAGATTAGAAAATTGTTTATGCTGTCCAGTTAGTCTAGTTATCAAACATGGAATCATTTATTAATGCAATCCAGTGATTTTGATTTTTTTTTATTAGTGGAAGCATAAACCCAATAGAACATTTAAGAAACTCGGGGAATTCCGATAGTGCGATTGTTTAGCTGTTGAATGGTAGGCTAAATATAGCAAATGATTTTTATCAAAGTGTTGCAAGTTTTATAATAGTGGCAAATCTAATAAGATTACGAGTTGGGTTGCGCGAGACTAACTTACTATATATACAACATGTTGTTGACTAGGTCGAGTATATCATGTATTTTTATAGTCTTTTTGTCAGTTTAGTGTGGTGGCCTGTAACTTTGCTCAAGAAATCGGTCAACCTTTATTTCTGAGTGGGTGCGCGTGATGTTACCAAGTTAGGCTTTTTCAGCTCATCCCCCATTGGACACTGTGTGTACATATGGATTGTTACAAGTCAGTGTAATAAATATGCATTATCCAACTGGAGATCCAGAGTCCAGACCTTAGTCGCGCTTATATGCAGTCCTAACCTAAACAAAAACCATAAAGGCACAAGTAAGATTTCCTTACTTCTCCAACTTAGAATGGGCCGGAATCGCTTCTTTTGTGTTCTTCCTTAGCTTGGTAAGTTGGGAGAGAGCCTTCAAATGATCAATGAAATTGTGCATGAATTAACAAAATCCAACAGTCCATGTTATGGTTGACAAGAATCATCCATCGTGGCCACAGTTATGAAGTTGAGACGTCGAGACCTAGTTTTGTGAAGCTGATGACTTTATGTAAATGTTTAATCTATGGCTGCAAAAATGATATACTATGAGATTTTTTCGCCGGTAGTGGGAAAGCCTACAAGAAAGACATCTCTTTCATATGGCGTTCACTTAGGGCTAAATTGGTCGCCATCGTATGTCAATCACGCGCATCGTAAAGTTGTCGCCCAACTAACGACCGTTGAATATCGCGTCACCGTCGGCCTAAAGACTGACTAACTTTTTGCGGGTGGTGGCATTTTTGTTAACCGTCGGCCTACCTTTTGATTGTCAAATTCAATATCAAGTTTGCAGCTTTTGGTTTTGCTGTAGGCAAACATGTAGGCTTGAAGAATAATGGGCAAAAGGTCAACTTTTTCTTCCTTCCACCTCTGCCTGGTTTTACTTTAAAATGCGGAAAAATTACTCATGCTTGCTAAACTCGATTCAGCAGATAAATAATAATAAATAGAGCAGGTAAATAAAAATAAAGTACTTCATTGTTACGTAACATTAAAGGGCAAACACTACGCAATGAAAAGTAATCGACATAGAAAGGTAAAATGAATTTGTTTATTCATATACCCAGCATTTAGAGTAAAAAAAAAAATATATCCAATATTATTTTAGGTATGTTTAACACAAACAATTTCATTTTTGGTGCTCCGCGAGGCGACCTAAAAAGTGCAAGTGTTACGTGGCGAAAGAAGTTTGAGAAACGCTGGCTCAGGATAGGGAGGAAGTCGCCAGCAATCCTCTGGTACTAAATTATCCCTTACGGTATTTGAACCTGCGAATCCAAGCGGGGTAAGAAATCAAGCGTATTACTAAGGCTTAGAAACGATGCGCCACTCAACGCGAACGTAGTCAGCTGCAGTGCACTAAATACATTAAAATACGTGTATACCCTTACCCTGGATCAGGGGTGGGCAACTTCTCTAGTCGGCGGGCCAGATGTGCAAAAAATGAAGTCCTCGGTAGGACGGATTATTACAAAAAATACTTCGGTATCCAATCTTTGTTAAATGCTCGGCACCCTCTGTCAACTTTACGTATCTTGGGATATTCCATGGTTAATAAAGTGCTTCATACGGACATAGCGTCTCCGCGATCTATTCGTTCACTTCAAAATGACATTAATAACATTTAGGAAGCAGCAAATACATCCGAGTTATATAGTAATTTCATTTCACTCATTAATATTTGATTGGTAAGTACCAATAGTTTTTGTTACGCTCTTATTGCGGGGCTACGTCAATAACACCTTCTCACGAGCTCCATAACACCAAATATTTGAATGGTCTCGAATAGATGATCTATATATTATCAGTTGTTGTCGTCGGTATGCTCTTGTATTGAGCAGTCAATTATTTACTACATATAGAACCGTGATTAATGCTGTTGCTGATGTTGTGTCTCCGCCGTTTGGTTTGGGCGAAGAAGTTACCATACAGTAGTCATCGAAACGACGTCATATTATGACCTCCCTTTAAACGACATCGCCGGCACGTTATTGTACAAAACTTTAAATTATTCTTGGCTGCGCAAGTCAATGAGCTAAGATTTGTACGCCAATGCAGAGAATGCATTGATATAACGCTAAACTTGTACACGCCGTTATCCTTTATTGAGTGAAGGTCACATTTTTGATGGCATTCACGTGCGCGTTTACTCGACAAATGTAAACAGACAAATATAATGGAATTGCTGGATTCTTTGTACTAAGCTTTCGTCACTGATGCAAAAATGTGTGATCTGAGATAAACACCCCTGTCACGTTTTAAATAAAAAATAAGTAATTATACTGTTAGGATTTTGGGTTAGAAACGATTTGACATCGTATAATACCTAGTTCACAGTAATATTCTCAGGATCTTTTGTATCAAGCCCCACCCCAAAACAACACCCCGCCAACGCTCGAAATAAATAGAAATAGTAATTATTCAGTTTAAGGTGAGGGATGCAGATTCAGCCGGAAATTCAAATTTTTGAATCATTCCTAACCTCAAATGGATAATTACTAATATGTCATTTTAAAACGTGGCGGGAGCTTTGTGCAAAAGATCCGATAGATTCAGTCCCGCTGTCCATTGAATATGCTAGCTACAGTTCTGCGATAGTTTATTTATCAATATCTTAACTTTTTTTCAGGTGCAGAAATATTAAAGGGTAAAGATTCAAAGACACAAAGTAACGAACGGGAAATATTACAAGTAAATATTATTTAAACATTTTATTTGACTTTCGACGCTTATTGATTCCTGTATACCACTGTTTTTGTTTAAAATGCTAAACAATTCGATGCGAGCGCACCGCGTCTCGGGTCTTGCGATCAGAGTCAGCATTGTTTGATCTTGTTTTTTTTTCTCGAAATTGTAGGATTCAGATTTTGCACAAGTTTTAATATTTGTAGAAGTCCAAAAAAGTACTATAAATATAATACCTTGTATCAAATAGGTGTACTCTTTGCGACCCCTAAAATTCGTTGCGCGCTTCCCTGCTGGATAGCGATCCCAACCGTGAACAATGTGATAATGCTACAAGTTACTGATCAGAGGTAATTAGTCATATACTCCATGAAACAGTTATAAAACTACACTGAGTGTTTTATTGTTATTTTAGTATTTGCAATTTGTGCAGTTTGAAAGCTACACCTGATATGTTATAAAGTATATATTTGAAATTAAATAGCAATCGCTGAAGAAATTTTATTCGTCTAAATTTCTAAGTTTTGGATTTTATAAAATTAAATGTCGAATTTTACCCGCTACGTATTTTATTAAAACTTACGTATATTTTTGAAGAAAATATTCAGAAAAGAGTCTTACTTTAAGAATACAAAATGAGGTACAATATGTTACACTGACATATCATTTTAACTAACTATCATTTTAACATAAGCATAGCTATGCAGTGTCTCTGTCAAATAACATTTGTGTAAATAAACCACCTGAAAATGCCATAGTTGACTCAACGAAATTTAGTTTAATTCGAATTTAGAATTGGCTTACACAAAATCACGACATATATATTGATTTTCAGCGTTTTAAAACAGGACAATTTATCATTGCACCAAAAGAAATTCGCCAAGTTCCAGGTTTCCTTCACTGAGTGAGATGGAGGCCTATCACGTCTGAAGAGCAAGTATGTAACCAAATCATTTGAAATCTTCCAATTTACATGTCTGTAAATAAATGACATATTGTATTTTTTTTCGGGAAATCTTCAGACAAATTATTACTTTTAATATATTGAGTATAAGCCTAGTTTTGTTTCGTCTGTCAAATAAAATTTTCTATAAATTACAACCTCAAAATTTTATAATAACATGATTCGCTCAACTACCGTTTTATTCTGGCTATTGAGTCGGCCCAGTGAATAAGGCGGGGGTAATTTTTTAGAAATAAAATTAGGCTATTTTCGTTCCCACCCAATAGTCGAGACACAATATTGCATTGCATTGCATTATATGTAGTATATAGTATAACGGCCGTTTCTGTCGCACAATATTCAGTCCATGACAACGACAAGAATTTAAAATGTCTTTCTATTTTGATTCAATTGTGTTCATGGTAACTCGCGGTTGCGTCGACTTACGACAAGATGAAAGCTTTAATTTTATAAAATGCCACGGCAATCTGCGAACATAATAATGTGAGAATATATTGCCCGATTATATTTAGTTTTGATACATATTTTTTGCGATCTTGCGAATTTGCTATCGCCGTTAGGAAAATCCTACTTTCTGCTATAAAGTTCCAAAACGTTTCAACTTGATTTAGTACTTAATAAAAATATATTCAAAGTTTAATAGTAGATTAAAAATACATATTCATCGCCTTGCCTTACTATTAAGTTAATTGTGATGATTTTAATTTGCAATTGTGTTGACGAAAAAAAGCAATAATACTCAGAAACTATCAAAGTGGTAAAGTGCCCGATTATATTTTGTTTGCGATAGTTTATTTATCAATATCTTAACTTTTTTTCAGGTGCAGAAATATTAAAGGTTAAAGATTCAAAGACACAAAGTAACGAACGGGAAATATTACAAGTAAATATTATTTAAACATTTTATTTGACTTTCGACGCTTATTGATTCCTGTATACCACTGTTTTTGTTTAAAATGCTAAACAATTCGATGCGAGCGCACTGCGTCTCGGGTCTTGCGATCAGAGTCAGCATTGTTTGATCTTGTTTTTTTTTTCTCGAAATTGTAGGATTCAGATTTTGCACAAGTTTTAATAATTGTAGAAGTCCAAAAAAGTACTATAAATATAATACCTTGTATCAAATTGGTGTACTCTTTGCGACCCCTAAAATTCGTTGCGCTCTTCCCTGCTGGATAGCGATCCCAACCGTGAACAATGTGATAATGCTACAAGTTACTGATCAGAGGTAATTAGTCATATACTCCATGAAACAGTTATAAAACTACACTGAGTGTTTTATTGTTATTTTAGTATTTGCAATTTGTGCAGTTTGAAAGCTACACCTGATATGTTATAGAGTATATATTTGAAATTTAATAGCAATCGCTGAAGAAATTTTATTCGTCTAAATTTCTAAGTTTTGGATTTTATAAAATTAAATGTCGAATTTTACCCGTTACGTATTTTATTAAAACTTACGTATATTTTTGAAGAAAATATTCAGAAAAGAGTCTTACTTTAAGAATACAAAATGAGGTACGATATGTTACACTGACATATCATTTTAACTAACTATCATTTTAACATGAGCATAGCTATGCAGTGTCTCTGTCAAATAGCATTTGTGTAAATAAACCACCTGAAAATGCCATAGTTGGCTCAACGAAATTTAGTTTAATTCGAATTTAGAATTGGCTTACATAAAATCACGACATATATATTGATTTTCAGCGTTTTAAAACAGGACAATTTATCATTGCACCAAAAGAAATTCGCCAAGTTCCAGGATTTCTTCACTGAGTGAGATGGAGGCCTATCACGTCTGAAGAGCAAGTATGTAACCAAATCATTTGAAATCTTCCAATTTACATGTCTGTAAATAAATGATATATTGTATTTTTTTTTTTGGGAAATCTTCAGACAAATTATTACTTTTAATCTATTGAGTATAAGTCTAGTTTTGTTTCGTCTGTCAAATAAAATTTTCTATAAATTACAACCTCAAAATTTCATAATAACATGATTCGCTCAACTACTGTTTTATTCTGGCTATTGAGTCGGCCCAGTGAATAAGGCGGGGGTAATTTTTAGAAATAAAATTAGGCTATTTTCGTTCGCACCCATTAGTCGAGACACAATATTGCATTGCATTGCATTATATGTAGTATATAGTATAACGGCCGTTTCTGTCGCATATTTCAGTCCATGACAACGACAAGAATTTAAAATGTCTTTCTATTTTAATTCAATTGTGTTCATGGTAACTCGCGGTTGCGTCGACTTACGACAAGATGAAAGCTTTAATTTTTTAAAATGCCACGGCAATCTGCGAACATAATAATGTGAGAATATATTGCCCGATTATATTTAGTTTTGATACATATTTTTTGCGATCTTGCGAATTTGCTATCGCCGTTAGGATAATCCTACTTTCTGCTATAAAGTTCCAAAACGTTTCAACTTGATTTAGTACTTATTAAAAATATATTTAAAGTTTATTAGTAGATTAAAAATACATATTCATCCCCTTGCCTTACTATTAAGTTAATTGTGATGATTTTAATTTGGAATTGTGTTGACGAAAAAAAGCAATAATACTCAGAAACTATCAAAGTGGTGAAGTGCCCGATTATATTTTGTTTTGATTCGTATTTTTGTGAATTCGACAAATCTGAGCTGTTTGTACAACATCTACGGCGCTCCAGTACTGTACGTACCAATGTGGAGACAGTAAGGCACGGTATCCTAAGAAAAAATGCCCTGGTACGTACGTATACTACGGTAGCACCCGAAATTTTGCAATTTGTAATGTCTAAAAAAGCCGCGGACAATCATAAAATCAAACCTATGTTGTTATCCGTTTTATTTTTAGTATTTTGTATTGCCGCTTTCCAATTTAGAAAATTCGAGTTGCCACCATTGCACCTACCAGAAAAAAAATTATTCCTCGTTGTTCGTACTCACGAACTCTATCGAAGCGTTTGTTTTCGTCGGAAATCCGCAAGTGAGTTTTGAAATCTAATCGTTTGATCAAGCGACGCGTCACCTGTTACCAAATTTTCGAATAGTAAATTGCTATTCTAATAGTTGAATATTCGAATATATGCCAAGTTCTACTCATTAACCTGTAATTATTGTCTCGAATAATGTTATGTGAAAAAACTTGCCTTTTATGTTTTATGTAACTTCTAACGTAAATCGTAACTTGGCTGATAGTTAAGTTTCGCAAAAACGTTTTTAGCCCGCAGTGAATTTCTGGTCCGTTGCGGACTCATTCAAACGCCCCGCGGACTCATTTGAGACCGCGGACTCGGGTCGGGAAACACTGATCTAAAGTATAAGCATAGCTTCTCTGTGCTCCTGTCAAATTACTTTTTCCGTAAACTTAAAACTTATTAATGACATAGTTCGAACAACTATATTTAATTCAAATCAATATTATACAAAATTTACCTACATTTCATTATCTCAAATAAATTTCAGCTTACTGAAACACTTCTTGAAAGCGGGAAAGACAATTTATCATTATATCTAAAGACATGCGGAGTTATTTGTCCGATTATGCATCACTGAGAAAGGTGGCTGCCTCGAGTCTAAAGAGCAAGTATGTTATCATAATCTTTTGAATCTTCCTGATTTACATTCATCACCATAATTCACGGATCCCCACAAAAAGGTTTGAAATTGTTATCTATTACTATTCCTAAGTAAGTCAAAATTACTTTACTTAATTTAAATGCTGAACATTTTAAATAGGCTTAATACCAGTCATAAATAAATTTCATAGATAAATTAAATATATTAAGGATGTAAACTCAAAAAACATAGTATTAAATTTTGGGTCCCTTTTGGTGTTTTTGAAATACTGAAAAAGTCCTAATAACGTACGCGATTACAATTTGGAAGAATCGCCGATAGTTTTCTTCAGCGTGACGTGTTTTTATTAAACAATTTATGTGCATATTCTCTCTGAATCACAAATTTTCCTTGGCATATGCCTGTATTGCTCTACGAGGCCGACGATAACTTTTTTTTTCTTGATTGAAAAGCGGCATTATAAAATATCAAAACTAAAATCTAAAACGGAAGATTCCACCATAAGTTTTGTTTTGCAGTCTCGTAGCAGATTGAAAACGCTTTATAGACATTGTAAATTTGTGATATGTTAGGATTTCTTTAAAATGTGTACAACTATACAATATAGTAACTAAAATCGAAACACAGTAAATTGTTCGCACGATGTACCTTTTGTCTATTTTAAAACTACCGATGGAGCCCAATACGTCTTTTTCTCGGTATGTGACGATATATAAGATAATTAATGCAAAATATAAAGATCAATTTATTTTGCAATATAAATTACAATCGTTCGTGTTTTGTCCATATCTTTAAAATAATTTTGAGTGCCTAAAAAACAAATCAAATTTGACTAACCTCAAAATACGATTCCGGTCTACTTATAGTTGGCAGTTTGGGACGTATTTTATGCAGTTTTTAAATAGTGATTTTTCATTTTAATAAAACCCTCTTCCAGCGGCTAAGCTCATATGAGAGGAAATTTATATTTAATTTTGCGATCGGTAAACTACTGTTAATATCGCTATTAGCTCTTTGTTGACGTAATGCCCTTTTTTTATTTTTTTATTTTTATTTTTTTATTATTATTAGTTTCCGAATTAGATCAAGATTATTAATCATTTTTTTAGAATTTTGAATATCATGGTTTTAATTACCACCATTTCAAAAAGTCATATTGTATATACGAATTATAAAATCATACAATACCAGTTTATCAATCACATATATATACATATTACATCCATGTCCATTTGAAGTTCAGTATAGTTGAGCCAAGTCATTTTATCAATTTATAATTATATTACCATCAGTAATTAATTTACATGGAAAAATAAAAGTTTCCAATAAATTAGATAGGAATAAGAAAAACTTCCATACCATGATTATAGGGTTTTTCTACTTTCTATCCATGTTGATGATATACAATAAATACGGTAGATACCGTTGAAATTTAAATGAAATAACACTATATACATATTTAAAGCATAACTGATTTATCAAATAATACATCAATGGTTTCATCGCTTATTATTTTCAATTTTGTTCCTCCTCCCATATATTTGATGGCAGCTTTCAGCTTGCATTTGAAAATTGTTCGCATGGTTGATTGGTAAGTTTTCCCTTCTTCAAATATAATATAATTTCGAAAATCCCATATTGCCCCTTTTGCACACGCAATGATCAGTCCTAATATTGGTTTTACATTTTGTAAGAAAATTATACTTTTAATATTGTACATGAACGCATTCAAAAAATAAATGTTTACAAGTTTCTACAATGTTGTTGTTACACAGCTGGCAGTACCCATCATCACCATCTACCCAATGCCTTATTTTATCCCCTGTTTGCAATGCCATATGTGCTATTTTCCATCCTAAAATTTGTAACTTTTTGGGAATATAATAATTCCAGATATCTATACATTTTATATCGTCTACAGTATATTATACCTCTGACGAATATGAAATACTTTCTTATTAATAAAATTATCATGCCAGTATTTTTTTTCATACATTATATGCAATTCTTTTGTTGTAGGAATTTCTTCAAAATCAAAAGGGTTAAGAATATCATTTTCTACACTATCATGAGAATCTGGTTGCAACAATAACAATTTCCATTCTATTGGTAACACCTCTACTATATACATTATGACATCTGAAATTCTTCTCTCATACATTTTTTTACTATTAATAGACATTGAGTTCCATTTAGCATGACCAATAACACTAGCTGCAATATTAACACAGTTTCTTTGAAAAATGTCTCTAATATAAATGATATTTCCTCTTATCCAATTGCCTACATGTTCTGGGTGAATAGACAATTGGACAAGAGGATTCCACCATAATATTTCTTTCACTATTTGTTTTTTTATCAAATATAGGTTTTCTCGAAGAGTTCAAACTTTTAAAATGATTAACGATTGTTGTATAAAATTTAGGTATTTTACTATTTTCATAATTATGAATCGAAAGATGAAGCGTTTCTAAATTTGAGGTTACTAGTCGTTTGTCATACTTATTAATAAATACTCTTGCTCTGGATGACCATGGGGTTCTACTACCTTCTAATAACCAAAATATCCATTTAATTTGTATGTTTTTAATTTGTGTTTCCATATCCATACATCCTACTCCACCATACTGTTTACTACAGCAACATATTTTTCTACTAACTAACTCACGTTTTCCACTCCATATAAAATTCCAAATTAGTTTAGTAATATTTTTCAAAATATCTTTTGGCACACATTCGAAAGCAGATAAGTACCATACTTTTGACAAAGTACCATACTTTTGACGTAATGCCCTGATATGAGAGAAGCGATAAAACCTTCCACCCGTGACGCAAAGTGCGAATCGTATAAATAGCGTGGATTTTAAAATCGCCTGTCAGACGTCTGAAAATGTCGACTCAGCTCAGACAGAAATACTCCTTTATAATGACTTTTTGTTGGTTTAGCATGTATTTTCATCTGACCATCTCTGGCGCTGTGTTGTTTTGATAAATATGATTTCGACTGCTCCATAGTTGGCAGAAGTATGGAGATTTTTTGTATGTAAAAAAAACGTAAAATTGATGGTAATTTTAACGCGTAAATGCGCGTACGGGATTGTTTACGTCGTTCTACGCGCATTTCCGTGGAAAAAATTCAATTTTTTTTGCATTTTACATTGGGCGTGGTCTGTGCAGTAATAATAAGAGCTGTGACGTCATCAAAATCGGTAATTTTAGCTTTGAACTTGATACACCTGTAAATGCAATTGTGAATTTCAGAGTAATAACCATTTATGCTATAATAGTCGTTTCGGTATTGTTGTGTTAGGAATAACTTGACGAAAACGTTGAAGAAAAAATTAATTAATTAGGGTTAATTAATAACCCTCTACTGTACACAGAATTTCTCAAGGTCCAATTTTTTTTTTAGAAATTTTTGAAATTTTTTTGCATAAAATTTTGTTTTTTGGAGGAGTGTGTTTTAAAAATATATTGCTGAATAGAACTCTAGCACACGCTTTTAAAAAGCCATGAGTGAAGCTTTTGGACTTAATGGTTGACAAAAAAAATAATTTTAAAAATACCCATGTCAAATAAAATGGGTCCATAGCTGGAAGAGAGATCGTAAAAGTTTTCTCGACTAAAATTCGAGTAACGAAGAACACCATTAAATTACTATGAAATTACTATGATAAGACATTTTAAATGCTTGCACCGGCTATGAATTGAATATTTTACTCGAGAAAAGACTTTTTATCCACTGCGATCTAACTCATGTCACATTAGAATTTACGCTCGTTCTCATATTTCGACACTACTGATGTCAAATTTTATTAATGATGTTATTACTTCTTTTGACAGTCACAAAATTAGCCAGGTCAATATTTTAATAAGTAATCGAATGGCTCGCGGAACCCAAGTTTCCCCAACGGAGCACTTTGAGAACCTCTGCACTAAAACCCCGAGGAAGAAATTTTCGTAAGACTGTTTGAAGTATCGTTGTACATGTTTAATAGTATAATGTTTAATACATGTTTGCATCTAATATTTAAATATTCACTCCAGCTTACCATGTTAGGATTTTGTGGCAACCGTCCCAAATGGCCAAAAACTTAATATGGATACGCTTATCGAGATAGTTACCTTATGTGTTGGCTTGTCCATGGGAACGTCCCATGGGATGGGATGGGACAACACACATTTGTATTTCCCATGGGGCATGGGATACGAAAACTATATGATTTTCGGGAAAATGATGGTAATAAATTTCATTATGGATTCCGTGTCCATATATTTGAGCATAACCCTCTTGTTAGTTATAAAGAGCAAAACATATACAGCATTAACAATATACTTCGTGAAGGGGCTGACACATGTATAATAGTTATGAATATAAAGTTAATAAAGTCCGTAAATGTTGTTGTTTTACATGTCTCTTTTTACATGTAGGCCACTTTCTTAGACGCTAAACCTAAATTTAACAATTTTTAATGAATTTTATTTGAATGGGAATCCCATGGAATGGGATGGGACAAGGATAATTGCTATGGGATGGGAATGAGACAGAAAAACATGATCCATGGACAAGCCTGCTTTTGTCTATATTTATTAGCATGTGTCGACTAGTCATATAATGTAATTTACTTTGTTAAATGCAATTTGAAATGATTTTTGTAATTTTTTCGGGAAACCTGCAGACAAAGTAATAATTTTATTATATTTAGTATAAGCTCAGCTTTGGTTTGTCTGTCAAAAGAAATTTTCTATGGAAAATCCCCTGAATACTTTATAATATCATGATTCGCACAACTATCGTTTTTTTTTCTGGCTAATAAGCGAATAAGACAAGAATAAATTTCAAACAATAAAAAATCGTGTTTTTGTCATATTATCGCCCAATATTCGGGTTAAAAATTGCATCACTCTGTTCCAAATTTTGTCAGATTTTTGTCATTCCTGAGAAGGAACTTTTTCCCTTGTATTTGCAGTAATGATGTTAGTTTAGGCACCAATGCGCGCTCATAATTTTATATGGCAAAGTCTTTAGAACCGGACCCGTGTTCATTTCTTCGTCGGCATGAAATTTAATATTCTACCCAAAAAACTGTAATTCAGCATTAAAAAGGTATCAGCGATTATTCACTGGGTCAATGGTTCTCAAACGGTGGGCGCGCCTTGCAAAAGGGGCGTAGACAATTTTGAGGGGGCATGTAGCTAATTAAATCATTTTTTGAATATTTACATTCCAACCCCGTATTTTCAAAGTATTTTTTAATGAAACATACTATTTGTTATTTGTAGTTTATTGCTAGCTAGTTATTTTTGAAGTGTGGCGAGCATTCTCCTAACAAGAGTTACATTGTAATCACCACAATTCGTAAAAATATTTTCATAGCTATATTATACTTATGAAATGTTTTTTTCTTCTTGAGATATAAGTACCATTACTTCTTTATTGATTTCTCTATTGAAGCCTTCCTCGAAAACGTCTAGCTAACTGCTAGATCAGCATTGTATCAATAATAATATATAGGAGAAATCATTAATTCTAAAACATGGCAACTCATTTCTATGTATATTGAATTAAATTGAGTATACACTAATTTTGCGGACACAAAGATGTCTGTATATCTTGTGTCATAGTTATACCTATATTGCCTTCCTCATTGATAGCATAGTCATTATTATTCTGCATAGGATTTATTGATTTAATTTTATGAGCCAATCTGGCTAATCTCATATATGTAATTTGAAATTATCATGGTCAAATTATCATATTATAACCATGGTACTAACAAGTTGCCCGAATTACATTAGCTTTTAAATAACGATGTTATTATAAGTACGTCCAACCGAGTGTATCAATGTGAATTCTATACCATTTGGCACTGGTTAACCACGCCATGCAATCCCCAAACTAAAATATCGTTTCCAGTGGCGATACTGTAACGCAGTGGTTCTCAAACTTCTTCGTATTGTGACGGCCTCCAAAAAATATGCTCAAGTTGCGACTCTCCGTGAAAACCGCCCTAATACCTTTCAATAAAGGACCTTTCTTGCAATGAGTTTTCAAAGTCAGTAAAATTGCATTTAATGGGATGGGAAATAATTGCGTCTTTTTACAATTGTCACTGAACCGTAGTAAGAATTGTGAGAGCCGCACGCATTTCACTCTCAGCATTTACTCGAGATCGATATTTTGTGTGTGTTACGGCTATGGTCGAAAAACCTGCTTCACATGAATACGAATTCCCAAAAGGGATCAAAGTGCACAACGCATTTTTCACCAAGGAAGAATAATCCTTATTGAAGGAAATCCAAAAACTCATTGCATTTTCAGAATTAAAATTTCTTCTTAAAACGATTCCGTTCAAAAACGGCGAAGAAAAGCAGCAATATATTGTTGAAGCAAGATTTCGGCCAGTGAAACATATTATCTAATAGGCCCAAACGGCATTTAGTAACATCGCATCCCCAGTTGCAACAAAAATCACGGAGATTTACTACTTGAACGATCTGAAATCAATGTAGCCTACGTCATACTTGTATTTTCAGACTTCTCGTATAGTATCGTTTCCACGCTTGTAATATTACTTTTTCTATGCGCCCAAAGGAAATTCCGCAAAAAAAAGGAAAAAATTTCGCGACGCCCGAGCAAAATTGAAACGACGCCCACTTTGACAACCACTGCTGTAACGTATCAATATATCCGTAAATCCAATTGGTAATAGTCCGTTCATGTTCATAATTGTCTGTATTTAGAAATGTATTTCCTATTGCTATATCGTTGATTGCTGGTACTAATATATTAGGTTATTATGTGTATACATCTATATATATGATAAAATAAAATAAACACGCGGGTACGGATACAAGCATGTCTATATTTCTAATGTTTTATTTATACAGGTATTACGTTATTGATAAAATGGTCCTTATTATTCTGTGTAGAATTTACTTGTTTAATCTTATGAGCAAAACTTGTTTTTACCACAAAATATTATCATACCATAAAAAAGAATCCGCCTAAGCTCAGAAATGTAACTGTAAATTATCATGGTCTATACCAGTGGATCTCAAACTTTTTAGTCGCAATAATATATACAGTAAAATATACAACTTCATCGCCTCTCCGTTTAAACATTTGAAGTCTGAAACGAATATTATACAGAACAAATGAACAAGATAAATCATAGTTTATAGTGTTTTTAATGAGATATATTAGCTTAGTGATCTTCCAGAAAGTTATTTTTTTTTTCAATTTTTGGTGACATTTTTGTCAATCACAATCTCAAATCACCCCGTTTACTGATCGAATGACGATTTCATTGTTTTGATAGCACTTTTTTTGTTACAAACCCTTTCTCCACCATAAAAGAAGTCGTAAATAAAGGAACCCAGGTTTCTGCCTTCTGCCTTTTTTGCATGGTTTGTCGAATTATGAAAGGTTTTCATTAAAAAGATGCATCTTTATAAAAAATCACGCATTGATGCATCTGTCGAATATAACATATGAATTTTATTTCCTCATTTCATTGTATTTCAAGAAGCATTGTAAAGGAGCAGTTAAATATTTTCTGCGGTATTGAACCCATGCACAGTGGACTCAGCATCAACTTTTTTGCGTGTTATCATTCGTCTAATTATATTTGAATTGTAGGCTCGTTAAACGATTAACTGGTTTATACCACCTGGTAGTAAACAGTTAATAACCATGCCATTCATGTTTCAATCTAGAATCGCAATAAATTTTCAATACCGGTAATATTGGAGTGAGTCTAATCAGGTAGATTGATATAACCGTGGCAATCCTTGGTTGTCCAAGTAATATTGATAAGTGTTCGAAACTGGCAATCCTTGGTAGTCCAAGTAACCTTACGGTTCATATTGATAAGTGTTCGAAGCTGGCAATCCTTGGTAGTCCAAGTAACCATACGATTCATATTGATAAGTGTTCAAAGCTGGCAATCCTTGGTAGTCCAAGTAACCATACGATTCATATGGATAAGTGTTCGAAGCTGACAATCCTTGTTAGTCCAAGTAACCATACGGTTCATATTGATAAGTGTTAGAAGTAGGTAATTCTTGGTAGTCACTGTAATCATATGTTTCATGTTGATAAGTGTTTGAAGCTGGCAATATTCCTAATTCGCTGTTATTAAGTGCGAGTATTCATATCTTATATTCATGCGTGTATGTATCTATGTATGACGCTGCATCAATGCGAATATTACGACTCTAAAATTGTTTATCATGAGGTACCTATGCTAACATGTCTAATTTCGTTACAAGCATAGTCCTTATCATTCTGTATACCATATCATATACCCTTTTTTAATAATCTTTTTTAATAATTTTCACCACAAATGGTAAGTCACGTGCAGTACCATACTATGTAAGTGGATCTGACAGAGGGTATTAATGTTGTTGTTAATCCCCTTGTCTGTTGAGACCCTTATTGATATTCTGTTGAGCGTTGGAAGTTGAATTGTATTTCAAATAACGATAACATATAAGTGTATTAATATAACCTTAAATCTCACACCCATTGGTACTGGTTTAACCACATGGTTCCCTGTTAATTACAATTCCAAAGCTTGATAATGTCATAGTTTGAACAACTATATCTCTTCACTGTATTTCTGTCAAATAGCATTTTTTGTGATTTAAATAACCTGATAGTGTCTTAGGTCAACAAAATTTAGTTTCACATAAATTTAGATAGACTCGGTATACACATGATCATGACATTATATTGATTTTTTTCATGTATTTTTAATATAAGATCACCTTTGCTTCAACTCTGCCAAACAGCATTTTTTTCTGATTCATAAATGCAATACTTGATAATGAAACTATATATTTATTTTCAGTTTTCTAAAACACTGCTTGAAAGAGTCATTGCATCAAACGGAATCGACATTGTTAATAGTCTGGTGCATCACGGAGTGAGATGGAAGCCTATAGAGTCTAAAGAGTAAAGAGCAAGTATGTAATCTTATAAATCTTTCAATTCATATTTTGTCATGTATAAACTGATATATCATGTTAAATCCCGCTAGTCAGGAAGAGGTGCAAATATCTAAATTCTCCTAACAAGATGTCCAAAATATTTTGCCCAATTTTATTGATATAATTTCGTAAAGTCATGTAATGCAATGATTTCCACACGCTAGTTCGCGGGCAGGTGTTCAGTTTTTAGCCGGTATGCTATAAATTCTGTTGCTTTGTTAATTTCGTATACCTAATTTCCGAAAAGACGCGGGTTATGTTTCTTTTTGGGCGTCCTGCTATCGATGGCGAGTATCGAAGTATGTATGTTCCAGTCGCCAGCAATGGGATTATAATACTGGCTATGGGGCATTTGCGGTTGCATTCGTACAATTGGTCGGACCTCATTTTATAGTATTTATTATATTCATATTTTATGGGTTTGTTTCTTCGCTATAGCGTTTTGTCATTTTTTCAATAGTCTAGTACAGTAGTTTTAACCAGGGTTCAATCGAGTTTTTGTTGTTCGTTGGAGCTGTTCCAGAGTTTCGACGAAGGTCCTTTAAATTAAAACAATTTTTTATTATGGCACTTTTCTATCACATCGTCATCAAATTATGCAAATTTAACTAGAGTTAATCTCAGATATTTAGACTTACACGTTCAACAACTGATAAATTAGTGTTGCTGTTTGTATAGTGTGCGCAGTTGTACGTTTTAGTGAACCCGTCATCTCCACGGATGTCGCGCGCTTGGGTGTTTGTGCTTATATGATAGTGCCCTTAGATGCTTTCTGCTTATGACTTTGAAACATCTTGGGTTGTTATGGAAAACCTAGGATTTTCAAGATGAATCTTTTCATTTTCTATAACCTTGCAAGAAATTAGGCTTCCCCTTTATAAAGTTAGGATTGGGCTCCTAATTTCAACTGTTCGGTACAATGGGGTTTGGCGAGAGCTTTCAGAATACCGCCACATGCTCGGAAGGGTTAAAGGTTAACTAGAATTTGAAAAATCACACAACGTTACGTAGTATTATTTTTTTCGATGTTGCCATTTCGCGAGAGTAGAAACAGACAGGTACAAATAGATTTATTGAAATATATATTCAATTCATATTGAATTAGATTTTCTGTCATTTCATAACCCAAAACTTGACATAGTTCACATAATGACATAGTTCGAAAAATTACTGGTGTTTCAAGTATATTACCACAATTGAGAATTTTTCTTAAGAAAAATGAAAGATTTGTGAAAACACCGTCGCCATATCGAAATGACAAAATATCAGTTGTTCATCTTGGGTTAGGTTCCGGGTTAGGAATAATTTAAAAGTTTGAAATCTGCATTCGGGTTGAGAATGATTTCTTTTAAATCAATGCTTCAATTGAATTGAATTTAAACTTGTCATTAACTTAAATGCTCGACCCAGATTTGTGTTTGGTAAATTTTAATTTTCATCAAAATACAAAAAAGTCTGATAAACAATAATTTATTTCTAAGTCATTGTCGCATGAATGTCTTATTCGTACAAAAATACATTGGAAAATGCTAAATGATGTTTATTGTTTTTACTTGAGTAAAACAGTAAAGATGGAAAGCAAATATGTTAAGCTAAATATTGGGGAAATGAAGGCAAACGTATCAACAAAAAAGCGCTGGACGTTTCCACGAATTAATGAAAGAAATAAAATGGTCACTTCTAATTCTCTGAAAAAGGGTAATCAATTGATAGATTTGAAATCACGTAACACGACGAATTTTTATAAATTTTTAGAATTTTCTGATTTTGTCGTAATTATACTGATCAGTTTGTTCTTCATTATAAGTACTTTTGCAGAATAATGCTGTATCACACAATGGTATTTTGTGAAAATCTTAAGCTATGTGGTGAAGAGGGAAAAATGAACTGCAAATTTCTTGTTCCTTCATGTTCCATAGAAAACAGTTCCAAACAGGCTGGCAAGCCAGAAAATATCCAATTTACACTGCACACATGCCGAGTCATATTAATAAGGTCCTCGCTTAATGGTTTGTTCTTCTATTTTGGCTGATCCTCTGCTAATATATGGACATTTATAAACTTGTTTTGGTATCCCAAGGGCATGATACTGTAATGTCGTTTTACCATACGTAGTTCGTCAAATAGCCGCGTTTTTATTACTTTAACTGGTCATATTTTAAAAATATGTTAATTTAACTTTAAATATTAAAGAAAACGAATCTTCCAAATCAAATAAACCCGCTTTGGGTTTAATACAAAATATAGAACGCCGTTACCTTTAAAAAAGAGGAAAATATGGAATACATGTAAATAAGAAAAATGTCTGTCCATTTGAAACTTCAACGGACATTTTTTTCTGTAGTTCTTTGCGTTTCATACTTTTTCATTTGTTTTTGTTGTTGTCAAGACTTCATGATAATATTGATTTTACATTTTTTTCATCTTGATTTAAAAAAGACCATATAGTTGCTCTTCCTAAGAGGTCATTTATAAACTTGTCCTGGTGTCACTATGCCATAATAATATAATATCATTGTAACTTACGGGTCGTCTTCTGATAATCGCGTTTTTATTACTTCAACTTGGTGCCAATTTTAATGCTTGATTCAAATTAGAATAATTTTAAGTTGAAACACGTTCAAATATTAACTGAGGACAGCTAAACTAACCCAATATGCTGGGTTCATTTTGCAATAATATCGTCTGGCTTGAATATTAATTTTTTAACGAATGCTTGTATTACTATCGTGTATTGTTTACTTGTTTTATTTTATATTTATATGCGGTATATTGAATTTTCATTTATTTCAATTTCGGTTTGGAATGGTTTAAATGAGTGTTCTACCTTCTGCTTAAAACAAACATCAATGTCGTTGTACAGTCAGTGCTGGTCAAACGAAATTAAAAGGCTTTCGGAAAAAGGTAGCGGGTATCGGTAATATCGGCAAAATATTTGGTATCGGTATTCTTATCGATATCGGCTAAATGTAGACTGGTATTTCCAAGATAATTAATTTTTTAATCTATTTAAAAATGTTTTTAAAAAGTAGGTTGAAATACTGATATGAAAATTATTCTTTGCTTTCCACAGTATTAGCCTCGATAAGTATGAGCAATGCCGTTTCCCAACCGCGCGAATAGAAACGAGAATAGGCCACCCACAGTAGCCAAACCCGATAAGTTATCTAACCGAACACCGATATTATTAGCGTCAGTGTGCAATGTATTCATCTTAAAAACGTATCTGGACCCAAAACATGAATTTCTTTTATCTGAAATATGTTTTTTAAATCTGAAAAATTGTGTGGCATCAATAATGCTTGCAAACTGTTACTTTACCTAGTTTGGACTGCACACTTGAGATAATAATTACATAGCATGTGGACGTCGTCAATTTCTGCTTCAAAATATTGATATCGGCGTTTCATCGTTGTTGTCGAATCGGTATCGGCGACAAGTAGTATTGGTACATCTCTCATGTTGGAATCTCTAGTATAATGTAATGGACGTTAATGTGATGTTCAAAATAGATACCCACTGCATGCGTTATTGTATCAAATCATATGTTGTAAAACAATGTAATCTCTTAATGCAAACATTAAAAACTCGTATGATATCAAATAGCATCTCTTATTAGGCCATCTTGGGCGTGTAATTGGTTACACATACTACTACTAAGATTTATTTCCACAGCTACAGACAAAGTTTAATTGTTTTATTCCGTATATATATTTGACACGGGGTTATTTCGAAAGTTATCGGGCATTGTACTTTTTGGTGAATGACCGCTCATAGACTACTCTCTTTGGGGCAATTTCATCTTCTGTTCGTGGAAGAAAATAGGCATGTTGACGTAAACAAAATCTTGTATCGGTCTTGTCTTTTCTATTCTTGTTTGTTTATTATTATTTCGGTATTTCGGATCATTGTGAGTCGGCTATTTAAGAGTTAATTCGCATTAGAAGTTTGTCGTTTAAGTAGTGTTAATTCAATTGCCGTAATAAACTGATTGTTAGCTTGTATTATATTTTGGTTAAATGGGTTCAATAATATTGCATAAATTAATGTTGCTATTGTTTGCATTTTCGGAATTAAGTATGTTGTCGACCTACTTAGGTTGGTCGTAAACTTTAGCAACCCTATACATTAACAGTTTTGGCTTCTACATTATGCGTTTCGCACATATTATTTGTTTTTTCGTACTTTGTTCATGTAGACTGGATATTTCATTGCCAATAATATACTTCAATCATATTCAAAGTTGTGGAGTTGTTAATATCGAGAAAATTGGCAGGTTATAAGTCTGACGCGCAGCGTCCCCGCCCAACACGTTATAGGCGTCTTGTAGAGCCTCATCACACGTAATAAGTTGCTCATAATTTATTTCCTTCATTATAAAAAGGAATAATAACTAAATGTATATATATTTTTACAGGATTCCTCAATTAAGGAACTTGACGATTCTTTATGTATTTCAAAAGAAAATAAAACTCAATTATTCAAATATGAAGAAGAGTTTTATTGAAGATAACTAAGATGTGCTAGCCAACAAATGCATTGAGTCCATACACAAGACTTTGATATTGAAAAAAGTCACTGTTTGTTTGAGACTGTGTCCCATTGCCATACGTACTTTAAGCTCGTATGCATGTGCACTTATTACCAGTATGTGGTAGAAAACAAATGCATTGGGCAGCATACACGAATGCCTTTATATCAAATAAGACTGTTGTTTAAAGCTATACCAAAATGCCATACACAATGTAAAAGGATTATATGCGGAAGTTTAACATGGGTCAACCCGTGAGGAATTAACTATTTGTATAATTTGAACAATTGCAAACGGATTCTTGATTGTATATTTATCAATGAATTGAATCATAGCTCAGAAAACTAAATACAATTGGTATTTGTATTTTGACACCCTGCAATGTAATCCTGTATTTGATGTCCTGGTATGAAAAATTTAAAATAATTCTTTCGTTTTACGTTATTCTTATATTTTTATTACTGTTATTATATGTTACTGATTTGTGATTTATATTATTGTTTATTACTGATATTGTATATTTTTTAAATAGCTATTTTGTAATATGCTGTTCCCATATTCGGCTATCTTTTTGCCGTAGTCCTTATTTTCTATTGTATTTTTTGAGATATTTTCAACAGGAAAACAAGGTATTGTGACAACGACAAAGGAAGAAAAGTATTACCAGGCTTGCCATGACTTTTTTTTTAATTTTTTTTTATTATAGATAGATTTAGACCCATCCCGCCATTAGGGATAATAGGGATTTTATTAGGCCTAGATATTTTCAATGGTATTCTAGCTTCTCAGGCACAGAATTATGTAGAAGTGACTGATACAAGAAAACAATAAAGGAATTAGGAAAAGACTGAAACAAGGAAAATCTACAAATTGAATGTAAATATTTTTCAAATTTTTTTAGGCTTAGATATTTTTAATACTATCTTAGCTTCTCAGGGACAGAATTTTGAAGGCACTGAAAAAATGAAAAAAGGCGGAACCAGAGACAAATCTAAAATACCGGTAAATATGTTACATTTGTTTCATTAGGCAGGCTTACTTTTTCCATTTAGTGATCATTATTATTTTGATTCGATAATACATTCTGATTATATTATTACTGATACAATAATGTACCAAGTATTATGTTTATTGCTGGCAATTAATATTTATTGATAAAGCTTTTTTTATTAATATGCTGTATCCATACTTGCCTATATTATTTGTCATAATTATTATTTTCTCTTCTATTTTTGAGATATTTTCAACTGGAAACGAGTGACGCCGACAAAAGAAGAAAAGTATTAACAGGGCTCGTCATGGCTTTTTTGTTACTTTTAATATTTTATTTGTTATAGATAGATTAGTCCCATTCCCGCCATTAGGACTAATAGGGTTTTTATTAGGCTTGGATATTTTTAATGTTATTCTAGCTTTCCATGCACACAAGTATGAAGACACTGAAAAATTCAAGAAAAGACGGATAGAAGGAAAATCTACTATTTACATATAAATATTTTTCGAATTTTATGAGGCCTAGATATTTTAAATTGTATTCTAGTTTCTCAGGCACAGAATTAGAAAGAAGTAAGAAAATACTGATACAAGGAAACAATGAAGAAATTAGGAAAAGACTGGAACAAGAAAAAACTACAAATTGAATGTAAATATTTTTACAAATTTTATTAGGCTCAGATATTGTTAATATTATCTTAGATTCTCAGGCACAGAATTTTGAAGGCACTGAAGAAATTGAAAGAAGACGGAACCAGAGACAAATCTAAAATACCGGTAAATATGTTACATTTGTTTCATTTGGCAGGCTTACTTTTTCCATTTAGTGTTCATTTTGATTTTTATTCGATATAATCTTTTTCCGATTATATTACTACTGATACAATAATGCACCAAGTATTATGTTTATTGTTGGCATTTATTATTTAATAATAAAGCTTTTTTTAGTAATATGCGGTACTCATACTTGCCTATCTCATTTGTCATAATCATTATTTTCTTTTCTATTTTTGAGATATTTTCAACAGGAAAACAAGATATTGTGACAACGACAAAGGAAGAAAAGTATTACCAGGCTTGCCATGACTTTTTTTTTATTTTTTTTTATTATTGATAGATTTAGACCCATCCCGCCATTAGGGATAATAGGGATTTTATTAGGCCTAGATATTTTCAATGGTATTTTAGCTTCTCAGGCACAGAATTATGTAGAAGTGACTGATACAAGGAAACAATAAAGGAATTAGGAAAAGACTGAAACAAGGAAAATCTACAAATTGAATGTAAATGTTTTTTCAAATTTTTTTAGGCTTAGATATTTTTAATATTATCTTAGCTTCTCAGGGACAGAATTTTGAAGGCACTGAAAAAATGAAAAAAGGCGGAACCAGAGACAAATCTAAAATACCGGTAAATATGTTACATTTGTTTCATTAGGCAGGCTTACTTTTTCCATTTAGTGTTCATTTTTATTTTGATTCGATAATATATTTTCTGATTATATTATTACTGATACAATAATGCACCAAGTATTATGTTTATTGCTGGCAATTAATATTTATTAATAAAGCTTTTTTTAGTAATATGCTGTATCCATACTTGCCTATTTTATTTGTCATAATTATTATTTTCTCTTCTATTTTTGAGATATTTTCAACTGGTAACGAGTGACGCCGACAAAAGAAGAAAAGTATTAACAGGGCTCGCCATGGCTTTTTTGTTACTTTTACTATTTTATTTGTTATAGATAGATTTAGTCCCATTCCCGCCATTAGGAATAATAGAGTTTTTAATAGGCTTAGATATTTTCAATGTTTTTGTAGCTTCTCAGGCACAGAAATATGAAGACACTGGAAAAGTCAAGAAAAGACGGATAAAAGGAAAATCTACAAATTACATGTAAATATTTTTCGAATTTTATGAGGCTTAGATATTTTTAATGATATTCTAGCTTCTCAGGCACAAAATTATGAAGAAGTAAAAAAACACTGATAAAAGAATCAATGAAGAAATTAGGAATCGACTGAAACAAGAAAATCTACAAATTGAATGTAAATATTTTTACAAATTTTATTAGGCTTAGATATTGTTAATATTATCTTAGCTTCTCAGGCACAGAATTTTGAAGGCACTGAAGAAATTGAAAGAAGACGGAACCAGAGACAAATCTAAAATACCGGTAAATATGTTACATTTGTTTTATTAGGCAGGCTTACTTTTTTTATTTAGTTATCATTCTGATTTTAATTCGATATAATATTTTTCTGATTATATTACTACTGATACAATAATGCACCAAGTATTATGTTTATTGCTGGCATTTAATATTTATTAATAAAGCTTTTTTATAGTAATATGCTGTATCCATACTTGCCTATCTTATTTGTCATAATTATTTTTTTCTTTTCTATTTTTGAGATATTTTCAACTAGAAACGAGTGACACCGACAAAAGAAGAAAAGTATTAACAGGGATCGCCATGGCTTTTTTGTTTCTTTTGATCTTTTATTTGTTATAGATAGATTAGTCCCATTCCCGCCATTAGGAATAATAGGGTTTTTATTAGGCTTAGATATTTTTAATGTTATTCTAGCTTTTCAGGCACACAAGTATGAAGACACTGGAAAAATCAAGAAAAGACGGATAGAAGGAAAATCTACTATTTACATGTAAATATTTTTCGAATTTTATGAGGCTTAGATATTTTAAATTGTATTCTAGTTTCTCAGGCACAGAATTAGGAAGAAGTAAGAAAATACTGATACAAGGAAACAATGAAGAAATTAGGAAAAGACTGGAACAAGGAAAATCTACAAATTGAATGTAAATATTTTTACAAATTTTATTAGGCTTAGATATTGTTAATATTATCTTAGTTTCTCAGGCACAGAATTTTGAAGGCACTGAAGAAATTGAAAGAAGACGAAACCAGAGACAAATCTAAAATACCGGTAAATATGTTACATTTGTTTCATTAGGCAGGCTTACTTTTTCCATTTAGTGTTCATTTTGATTTTTATTCGATATAATCTTATTCTGATTATATTATTGCTGATACAATAATGCACCAAGTATTATGTTTAATGCTGGCATTTATTATTTAATAATAAAGCTTTTTTTAGTAATATGCGGTATTCATACTTGCCTATCTTATTTGTCATAATCATTATTTTCTTTTCTATTTTTGAGATATTTTCAACTGGAAACGATATCGTGACACCGACAAAAGAAGAAAAGTATTAACAGGGCTCGCCATAGCTTTTTTGTTTTTAATATTTTATTTGTTATAGATCGATTTAGATTCATTCCCTCCATTAGGAATACCCGCCATTAGGAATAATAGGGTTTTTATTAGGCTTAGATATTTTTAATGTTATTCTAGCTTCTCAGGCACACAACCATGAAGACACTGGAAAAATCAAGGAAAGACGGATAGAAGGAAAATCTACAAATTACATGTAAATATTTTTCGAATTTTATGAGACTTAGATATTTTTAATGATATTCTAGCTTCTCAGGCACAGAATTACGAAGAAGTAAGAAAAAGACTGATACAAGGAAACAATGAAGAAATTAGGAAAAGACTGATACAAGAAAATTTACAAATTGAATGTAAATATTTTTTAAAATTTTATTAGGCTCAGATATTGTTAATACTATCTTAGCTTCTCAGGCACAGAATTTTGAAGACACTGATGAAATTGAAAGAAGATATTTTCAACTAGAAACGAGTGACACCGACAAAAGAAGAAAATTATTAACAGGGCTCGCCACCATGGCTTTTTAGTTTCTTTTATTCTTTTATTTGTTATAGATAGATTAGTCCCATTCCCGCCATTAGGAATAATAGGGTTTTTATTAGGCTTAGATATTTTTAATGTTATTCTAGCTTTTCAGGCACACAAGTATGAAGACACTGGAAAAATCAAGAAAAGACGGATAGAAGGAAATCTACTATTTACATGTAAATGTTTTTCGAATTTTATGAGGCTTAGGTATTTTAAATTGTATTCTAGTTTCTCAGGCACAGAATTAGGAAGAAGTAAGAAAATACTGATACAAGGAAACAATGAAGAAATTAGGAAAAGACTGGAACAAGGAAAATCTACAAATTGAATGTAAATATTTTTACAAATTTTATTAGGCTTAGATATTGTTAATATTATCTTAGTTTCTCAGGCACAGAATTTTGAAGGCACTGAAGAAATTGAAAGAAGACGGAACCAGAGACAAATCTAAAATACCGGTAAATGTGTTACATTTGTTTCATTAGGCAGGCTTACTTTTTCCATTTAGTGTTCATTTTGATTTTTATTTGATATAATCTTATTCTAATATATTATTGCTGATACAATAATGCACCAAGTATTATGTTTATTGCTGGCATTTATTATTTAATGATAAAGCTTTTTTTAGTAATATGCGGTATTCATACTTGCCTATCTCATTTGTCATAATCATTATTTTCTTTTCTATTTTTGAGATATTTTCAACTGGAAACGATATCGTGACACCGACAAAAGAAGAAAAGTATTAACAG